AAAAAAAAAACAACAACAAAACAAAAAAAAGCCCAAACAAACCAGAATAAACACAGAGGCAGCAGGAGGCTGGAGTACTAAGGCCGAAGGGCCTGTATGCCCCGATATCCCAATGTAGCCAGAGGCAGATGCTGCCAGAAAAACAGTAGAAGAAAGAGGGTGAGCGCACAGCGAGCCTCCCTCTCCAGTAGCTTCCTAGTCTCCAACTCAGAGGTGTAGGGGCTAAGCAGTGAGACCAGGCAGTAATACATTAACTTTTCTCAAAAGCAAGGTCTAGTATCACAAACGCATTCATCCTAGCAGGTATTTCTGCCTTCGGGATCTGACCTGTGCTACATTTTTCATCCTCAATTAATTCCCAGTGTCCTAGCACCTCTGCTACTCTCCAGCCTTCAAATCAGTTAGTTGTCTCTGTGAATCGTGTGCCCTGTTGGCTTGTAAGAAATGCTGAGAAATTTCAATGACTGAAAAATCAAAGGGCTTGTCTAATACAACAGCACCCTCTTCCAAACACACTGACATTGTAATGTTTAAACAGCTGCATTGTACCGTGCAAAAGCTCTGTCAAGCCGCAGATCAGCCAGCATGATCTAAACGTTTAGAAAGAGAGGATAAATATTTCAGATTTTCACCCCATGAGCATGTGAATGGTCCAGGCCCCTTCCATCTAATAAACAAAACTGACTGTGCAGTGAAATAACCTGAAAAAGTTCTGGTTTCTCTGAGAGAGAAAAAAAAAAAAAAGAAGAAAAAAAAAAAAGAGTCACAAATGTATGAACATCTGGAGATGACTAAAACCACATAGGACTTCTGGATTGAAAATACGTGATAGTGTATTCAGTAGGTGAAGAGTGAAATTATCACTGATGTCCACAATGCAGCTGCCTGTTGTACATATTTTCCTTAGTGGCTGCAGCCAAAGTTCACAGAACTAACATGATATTTAGGAGTTAAATGTAATTTTAACAATTCTTTTCCGTAATAGTATGCTACTGCTAGGGAAGGGGTAAAACCATCCAGAGTTATTCTTTAGCAACCAGTTTAGAGTGATCTAGTTTCTTCTCATTCTCTGTATTTAAAAAACAGAGGAAGAGAGAGTGGGAGCATTTGGTACAGCAGGTCAAGTTACTGCTGCACTCTCAGTTTCCAGACCCAGGTCCCCATTAAATAAAGGTTCAGGACGATGCTGTTGTTTGGGTCAAACTTGGAAAGGACGTGTGCAACATAATACAAGCTAAACACAATATAAAACTTGCAGCTCTGTGTTTCTGCTATATAAGGGCCTCTGCTAACACTCAATGATGTCACTCCAAGTTTTGCTCCTGACTTTCATGGGCTTTAAATCGGGCATGATGAGTTGAGGTGAAAATCCATCTCCCCTTGGCCCCAGGTGGGAGCAGGCTCCAGGCGTGCAGCCGGCGCAGGGACAAAGCGGGGACTTCTTCCACCGCTGTAGTGCTTTACTTTTCCAAGTTGTCACGTTTTGAAGCCCTGTTTCTTGATGCCTGTTACAAACTGTAACATTATTTCTTTCTCCTCATTTTTGGGTTTTTGTTGTGTTCTTTTTTTTTTTTTTTGGTGGTAGGCAAAATGAAGATAATGAAGAATTTTTGCCAACTGGAGAAACCTCTATAGACTCCTACCCAAACTGGTTAAAATTCCACATTGGCATTAATCGGTACGAGTTGTATTCCAGACATAATCCTGCAATTGAGGCTTTACTACAAGACCTGGTCTCCCAAAAGATAACCAGTGTTGGTATGTTCAGATATATATAATTTTTTATGATTATTTGCTCATTGTTCAGGATCTCATTGCTGTTTGAATATTAATATTTTGCATGGCTTGTCTCTGGCGTGCCTACAACATTGCTTCCCAACTTCTGCCCTCATTTTCCCTGTTAAATACAAAGAGATATTGCCAGCTCTGTATTACCTGAATCACCTGCAAAGTCTGCCAGCAAAGCAAACCCCATTCATTGCAGAGATGTTTCAGTCACGATCAGGCTGAAAGTGCCCTGTTTGCTTATTTAAAATAACTACTATAATTAAATAAAGGATGGCAAAAAGCAGACAGCATCTTGCACGAGCTAGATTTGTATTAATAGCTGATTATTATTTAAAAGGCTGTGTCTGGCAGCGCTCATCTTCCTGAGGAAGGAGGGAGGCGGTTGACCCGCAGCCCTGCAGCGATGGCTGCGGGAGCCTCCGGCGCCACGGGGCTCTGCGGCTCGACGGAGCTGCAGCTTCCCTGGGCATTGCAAAGGGAGCTCCAGGCAAGCCAGTCTCCTTCTGAGGAGGGTTCAGCTCTGTTTGTTCTGCTTGTAAATCCACCACAGGGATGTGCCCATGCCAACCTTTGGCTCTGGTTAAACAAGGTGACACAGTTTGGGGATTTTCTCCAGAGCTGTTTAATGACAACGTGTGTCTCACTGAATTTAGCTACGTAGGTGCACAGGTTAAAAAAACCCAAACAGAACCCCAAATGAAAGCCTTGGGGTACTAAACAAATGCACACCCCATGGTTTCCAGAGGTAGAGAGCTGCAGCATGGCCAGCGGTTTCTGTCGGCCAAGCAGAAAATGAAGTTACTTGCGCTGACCACAAAGTTGCTAAGTCCGTTTCAGAGGGATGAAACAGCAGGAGCTCTGTAAAAGTGCTGATGGTGTGTTGGCACCGTGGGATGAGGTCAGCAGG